CGTGTAGAAGGTACGAACTTTCCAACAAGCACTATGTGGGACAATCACATGAGTAGATATTAAATACTCTTCAAATACTATATAAACACCGCTGGACGCGAAGGAGGCAACCACTCAACTGCGCACTGACGATGTCCCCTCGACTGGGAACGAAACTTTTGTGAAGCCCCGAGAACAGTCTAATGACTATCTGGTCCACCACCACTACACATACCCGAGCTGCCAATATTTCCACGCCCTGACATTCGCTAGGAACTACATAAGCATGAACAACTGTGTTGAGTACATTTTCACGTTACTACCACCCAACATCTTTACAAGAATGTCGGTATAAATATGAAGGCGCCCCGATTTCAAATAGGGTAACTTCAATGAACTTTTTAATCCTGATATGATGTTTGATGTGGTGCCCTTTTACCGAGACACTCTAGTGTCTGTCAACCATCGACTTTCGTTCAAATAAAACTCCCCAAATTAACGGTCCTAGGCACTGATGTAAATACTACCATTTCTCTTAACACTTTAACACCTAACTTCAGTGTGGGACATACTCGAGAGCATTTGATAGACGTCCGACCATCAGATGCCGTTATCACATTTTCACATTTTGTATAATGCCTAAGCAGCGCCACCCGTACGACCGAAAAACAATTGCTGCTTTCCCCTACTTCAAAAGAACCTTTGAAACTGGCTTTCGATTAATTTTTTGCACATACGAAGGATGCTGTGACCCAAATTGTGTGTGAAAGAATGAGAAGACCACTCCCCTTGCATCAAACTTTGATTCCACTTGAACAGTAATTCGCCGTTGACAATGTGCACCAAGTTAATATCGCTTTGTGAGCATGCAACGGAAAATATTCATTAGGACAAGAAATTTAGGTAGTTAAGCGAACATACCAGTCGAGTCAATAGGGTAAGTGCATCCAACTTCCATGCGAGGAGGTGAGTAATCTTAATCGATGCAAAACCTTCCTATTTTGAGTCAAACTTCAAGAAGATCGAAGCCCACCCAACTGCGACGCCCAGGGAGGTTCGACGACTAGGCTTGTTGTTAGTCAGAGCGAGGAAGTTTTACGTAACACAAAACCTTACAATAAGGTTGAGAATCAAAGCCTCCCATATTGGTTATATTTTGCCCATGTTTTATTCCCAGGACTCATTCAGGATTTCTACAAAATTGCATTCATTGAAGCACGTAAGATGCAATGGCACTTCAAGAACATCCTTTTTGGCTTTCTTTTCAGAGAAGCACTGTGACTTTTGGTCAGGCTAGTCTCTCAATGTTTCGCACAGCCATCATCTTCAAATGTGCTTTTCACGACTCCACCTATACTTCTAGAACACGCTTCACATTTGAATCCTTGTTTGCTATTACTGAAACCTACCGTCATTCTGTTCTTCCTCATATTTCGTCGGTACCGTTTCGGTGATGAATAGTCATTTGTTTAGGTTTCTGACAACACGAAGACAACAGGTTAAGTAAGGCTAAAGTCAGCCTATCAATGGTAAGAATATGTTAGAAAGCGGGTTGCTGAATTCCTGTTCACCATACGGTGTTGTAGTGCATAATTTTTGCATCTGTTTTCCGTCAAAACATTCCACGTAGAGAATGAAAGGTTTGCTTTCGTGACAGCGTTTGACTTCTGAGCACGCTTACCCCTTCTGGAACCAAGCTACACGGTTACCATTGCTCGGCTGTACTGTTTGTCTTTCGTTTTCAGACAGCGACACCCCTTTGGACGAACCAGAACACATTCATTTAGTCGGGGAACGCCTTGTCAAGGAGTGGGACGAATCGGCGGAATACGAACTGTAAGTTTTTTCAAACCTCCTGAGGGTCTCCATATATTAATTCTCTAAAGCTAGGAGGAAGCCTCGTCTTTTAGGATCACTAGAATATGAAAAGCTCACCTTTGTCTGTCAACCAATCCTTCGTTCCAGCTCAGTTTTTGGCAGCGGTGACAGGCGAAAATTCAAAGAAAATGGGACAAGTTTAGTTAAACATTGTCAGGGAAACAGTTCAACACTGCTACAGGTCGGTAAGGCATCCCCAGATCCAGATCCCGTTCTCAATCAGGACTAATCAGGAACTGATCACTCCCGTTTTTTTACCGGAGTCCAGGTGTTAACTGACTGCCATAAGAACCATGTTCATACGATGAACTGCAATCAGGATCCATTTTTACGATTGCCCGTCCCCAGTAATTTGACAAATGTGGGGCATACAAAACGAGATTATCAGAAAACACGAATGAACTGACGCTGATACACGTACAGAACGGGACAGTGGTGTATGATTAACCATGTGCAATCCTGAAAGGTGTTAGCATGTGTAGGTGTGATGATTAGAACTATGATCCACTCCACCCGGACTGATCGAAAAGACGCTGGAGACCACCAAAACCACTAGTATGAAAACGATCAAGAAAAGGAAGTTGGTGCATGAATGGAAGTCCTCTATTACTCTAATGAGACTGTACGGCTACCAGCGTTACGTAGAGTCACCCGCTGGATTGGTCTGAACATGAGAAACGAAGTCTCAACCGTCCCCCCGAGTCACGTAATCTTCTCTAACCAAAGAAATCGATGAAATGTACACAATAGCTAACAAGTAATATTGAGATTTATCCTAAAACTCAACCATGAGGTCTTATCTGATATCCAACAATAAACTCAACAGCTATTTTCTAGATTTGTTTGGAGCGGTGGATTCTTTGTTCGGGGTAAATTTATCATGGTAGAGAAGTCCAGTGCACCAAAGTTAATTTTACCTAGACAAGTGTTGGTACATAGCCCCTTTTAGCTTTCCACGTGAAGTATGAGCGCGTGACGTGTGGTGGTTACCAACTGCTCAAAGGTTGCTGACCAGCTACACCCACTCCTTTCAGAAAGCGCTGGTCAGCAAAATGTACGGATAGGAAAGTTCTGCGTGTTACATCGGCGACATAGGTGGGCTTTGAGAAGCAGTCATTCATATATTCCTTTCAAAATAAACATGTAGTGCTTTTTTCTTGACCGGGGGCACTATTCATAAGGTCGCTGGGAAGTCATCGACAGCCCACGACTTGATTCGTCCTTCTTGCAGAGGGCGCAGTTCCAGAGTTTCCGTCAACCCCGCGTTGTACTTATTCACCAAATTGTTCGCAATTCGTCAGACACACTTATTTGCACACAAACTTGGTTTCAATTGGAAACTCAACGAACTCCCACCCGAATCTCTCTAGTTTATCCCACCGTTCAAGTAAATGTACTGCACCAAGGCCGCTTCATGTTTCGCTTGGCACGATCTTCAAGATATCACACGATATTTCGTTTGCGACGCATATCACTCATAAGGTTACTGAAAGCTCTTCGACGGAACATTCGGTTGAAGAATATCCTGAGAGGGAAATTCAGCTGGGATTCAACTGAGTCGTGCATTAACACCAATCTAATTAGCGAATGCATGTATGAGTATGTCTTTCCTTCCCATCAACCCAGATGTCCGCTTCTCAAAGGGACGTTCCTTGAAGAATTGTTGAGCCTCGTAACCCCCATTACACCTTCTCAAAGACACACCGGTTTCATTCGGTAAAACACTTTCTACCCTTCGAACTTTTGACTTCTTCTGCCTTCATCTTCCCCCTACTAGCATCTTGAAAGAAGTTGCGGCAATAGCAAAGCGGTTACACCCCGATGGGGCCGGTCCCCCAGGAAATGGGAAATCCGCGATTACGACCGACGTGAGTTATGCTGTACCATTCTGCCGACAGTTGAATCAAGTATGCTGGCGAACTTCATTGAATCTGCTCCGAGATCCACTTGCTTCGGTGGTGCAAACACTCGTCTATCTGTTCTTCGCCTTGTCTATGGGGACTGTCTATTTTCAAATGGACACTTCGCTTGAATCAGGAATTCAAAACAGAGCTGGCCTTTTCTTCTTCTCCACACTTCAGGTAGTATTCGTCAATTTGGGATCGATTGAACTCTTTATCAAGGAACGTGTCCTTTTCATGTAAGTGCCTTGCATTCATCACGGAGATCTGTCATTGGTTAGTAAGGTAAATGTTTAGTCGTTTTAGTCAGAGGGAGGGAAGAGTTTTTTGAGTAAATAAGTGAGGATTGATGGAGTCAAATGCAGGTGATATTCACCGGTCAAACGCTTCACTACCCTAACATGTTCCATCGCAGGTCTATACACTATGTGTACTGCATACTTCATTTTTATCTACACACTGTATAAATGTCAGGTCTAATGAATAATCACTGGGATTCTTGGATCTGTGCCTAACGTGTAAAAGCTGTTGCAATGTAAACGCTGATTGTTTCCATTTGTCCATGAGCTTGCATATCACCGTATACGGGAGTAGGTGTGTAAATCCCAGTCAATCAATCGATGTCAATTCATCAGCTATAAACCGTGTACCACAGACACATTGGTTCCCACTGCTATAGTTCCGATCACCGGAGTGTGGGAGAGTTCGAGAGATATTTGCACGTTCATTTGATTCAGGAATTGAATAGCTACGCATTGAAGGTGATAGCTTTGATGCACGAGTGTCATTGACTGCACTATTGGGCCGTTTCTGTCAGTGTCAATGACCATTGGTGAGAGGAGACTCAGGGTCCCATCCAGGGAGTTTACAAGCTAGTGTTTTCGTACTTCGTAGCCATACATACACTGTTCACCTTCCTGTCGCTTCCACTCATCACAGGACTGGAAAAAAATCCCTGTGAGGAAGACGGTCTTCTGGCATGCGAAGTACATGTCCTAAGCAGCGCAACCTATGACGCGTGTGTAATTCGTCCATAGCTGGAGCGCTTCTTCTGCATAAGACTATCTGGCGTACCTCAGCATTGCTAATCCGATGTTCACGTAAGACCTGACTAATGCTTCGAAGACAACGATGGTCAAACACGGACATCTTCCGTACGCCCTCTGCGCGTAGAGGCCATCTTTCTGATCCATAAAGCAGTATAGATCGCACTGTCGCAATGTAAACTCTGCCCTTGATAACAAACTCACGTCATGTCGGCGCCATAGGTATCGGACGTCGGAAAAAGCTGCGCTGGCCTTCTCAGTTCGAAAAGTACTCTCATCCCCGGCCACTGTACTGGAATTTATACAGCTGCCCAGGTAAACGAATTTATCTACGACGTCGATTGGCTCGCCTGCCTGTAGCAGCACCTTACACTTTGCAGGTGCGAAGTGCATGTGGCAGAGTTATTTCGTTCACCCCTTTCGGTGCCTAACTGCCATGCCACCCGAAGGTCAGTAGCTCCCACGTTAACACATGAGCAACATCGGTGTTTCGATTGTCCTTTTCTTACTCCATTAGTTGTGGAGAACCCGGGCACACATATGGCAGCTTCGCATAGAAACTGTTGTGCTACACTGTTTTACCTCCAATTTCATTATGCTTTGAAAGAGATTTATCGGTCATCCACATAATCACCTTCAGTTACTTTCACATGGCTTCAACTGTCACATTCCTAAATATGGAACCAAAATGCACCGTCAAAGGTTTGGACTTACTGGACACTGTCCCAAGTCAGAAAACATGGGAGATGAGGATCAAATAATCTTGAGTAGGCGCCCGAGTACACACAACACACACACCCCTGGGCTAGAATCACCCGCGACCTCATGCCTACTGGACGGATGTTTCCCCAGCTGGGTTGCCGCAGATCACATAATATTAGTCCAACCTTTGTCTGTTCCCGATCATTCAAACGAACTAATGTCTCGGTTATTTTGATGGTATAAGCATTTGGTCAACTGTAGGAGGGATATTAGGGAGCTCATTGATGGCACTGACAGATGTCAACTTCCATTCAACTAACTAGAAATGTGACTGACCTATGTGAAATCCGTATGCATACGCGACGTGGGCCGGTATCCTCGGTAGCACAGTTAACTGAACAAATGAGAAGTCGACGGCTCGCATCTCGCTCATAGATGTCTCTACATGACTTATATTTGGGTTCTTACTCACGGAAACGATTTAACTGTCTCTCGTATATCTATTACGACTTTATAGGACTATGTTGACCGGTCCTTCCATTCAAAGAACTTCGTCTCTTTTTATTCCATTCTGGCTTACAGACATGAGAACAGCAGTGGATACTACAGGATATCTGCGTATTTTTTATCTAAGATACTGTGTGACATACTCCCAACCAAAGTCCTCCCAGTCCTCCTATTCATGCCCATTTGCTACTGGATGGCCGGCCTATTACCAGAGGTCGGTGCGTTCTTCTATTTCGAGCTCCTTTTAAGCATCACAACCTTGGCCGCTGCCGCAATAGCGCTTTTCATGTCAGCAACCTTCACGCTGTTTGGGATCGCCAACGTTGTTGTATCCATTCTGTTTGTCTTCATGATGGTGAGTTTGAAGCAGTATCCGGAAATTTTGGTCGATTATATTAGTACTGGACAGGAACAGGGTTTACCCATTATTCTTGTGGAAAGACAAACCTTTGTAAGGGGTAATATTGTCCTCTCGTTCAACCGAAAGTGATGCAGATATGAAATCTCCTTCATAGTTACGGTTTTGCATGGTGATAGACGGTGATAGACGTGGAAGACTGAAGTCCTCGATTCTAGGGGCTTCTCGAGTTCTCGAGTTCGACAAAGTACGGTATTGGAAACCATCGTACACCCACTCTGTTCATCTTCAGTAATTTGGCTTTTAATGAGCATTGATGCTACACATTTGCAATGAAAATGTTGAAATGGGCAGCAAAAATCTGCGGATTATATGTTAAGGTTACCGAATCCCTATGGAGAACCCTAAAGCGATTGTTCCAAAAGTACGACCCGCTTGCGACACAAAGTTTAGGCACTACTTTATTTCACTGTCAATGATGCTGGCCTCAAAATCAGGTTACTCTTGAAGTGCGATTGACTGTTTTTGGCTGGTAAACAGTATGGAATACGAACAACATGGAATATGAACAACATGGAGCCGTCTTATCCTGGGTGTCCCAGGTGTCCTCGGACTGAAATGCAATACTTGAATAGTTTGAAATAGAAATCACTGTTTCGTCAGGCGTGTTGGGTGTGCGAGTGCATCACGAATTGGGAGTAGCACGTCCCCAAACTACGCCTCACACAAAGACATACACACGGCGGAAATGGTTCAGGTTATTCAGATGGGCCACAATCCTATTTGCATCCGTTAATCACCTAGTCAGAACCCTGAAAGAGAGACCAGAACCATTCCGACATCGGTCGACTCGACGTCATTCTCAGGGGTCTTCAGATTTATTCCATGTTCCGTGACTGAACATTATGCATTTGTCGTCATGCTTGTCAACCAATACGTTGAGAGTGATTTGCGATCGGGACCGACGGAAGCAAGTGGCAGCACCTTATAATTCACTTCACTTAGCTATCCACAAAATAAAATAACAAGCGTCCTGAGTTCCAGATACACCACTCAATCATTGACTCTATCGTGGGTGCATTTTCGATACCATCACTGTCAAATTCACAATTTTCTGACGTAATAGTAACTAGGCTCAACCCGGCGCAGTGATTCACCGGAATGACCTAACTGGCGGAAACAATCAGGCAGAAGACTAACGTGTGAAGTTATCAGCATATTGAGGTGAAGCCTTTCTCAACAGTCAATGAACAACTCAAAACACAACGCGCGATCTGATTATACCTGAACCCAAGCCAAATACGACAGACTAAGACAAAGATGTTACCTTCAGTGATCAGTATAAAAGCTACGAGAATGATTTCAGAGTTACAGAATTATAGCTCAAGATCGGACTATTACTACTTTAGTAACCAATCTCAGTGATGTGTACACCCTCAGTAGTTATGACCATATTTTACCATAGCCACCTGCAGGATAGTCAATTACCTGTGAGAACTACCATAGCTTAGTCAGATCTCAACCTAGCAAGACTGACATCTCCGGTGGAATCAAACAGCCGATTCTGTCCGTTTGCTAAGTGAAGCGCAGACAACAGATCTGCGATTCGCGATCTGCCGAAAGCTTGCCACATGAAACAGCACCAGTGAATCTGATCACGAAACATCTTAATGAAGCTTACATTAATCATGACGATCTATTATAGTATCATTTACCAAAGAAGTGATACCAGGAGCGCAGAATGTTTTGGGTAACTTAGCAACGCGACGGTCCAGGATCCTATCTCCTTGGACATGACGGCGATTGGCTGATTTCCATAGTTAGGCTTCCACTCGTCTATGGCAAGTAACTCGCGACTTTGTAGGAGTCCTTCTTGGTGTCATTCGGAATGTGCTGGAATGTGTGTTCGAACCGCGGACCTTCCGCTTTGTAAGCTGGCGCCTTAATCACCGAGCTATCTCGAGCTTATCTCAGTACTAAGTGCACGTCCACTAATCAGTTATTCCCGTTACCAACTTGAAGTATCTACGTTAAGCGAGCTCCTAGATTCGCAAATAATAGACTGATAGCCGCAGGTGGACCAGCTCTGCCTCTGTAGTGTTTAGACCTCCGTTGAAAAAATCTGAATGTTTCATACGGAACCTACGGAGGCGCCTTAAGAGCTATCTCGAGCTTATCTCAGTACTAAGTGCACGTCCACTAATCAGTTATTCCCGTTACCAACTTGAAGTATCTACGTTAAGCGAGCTCCTAGATTCGCAAATAATAGACTGATAGCCGCAGGTGGACCAGCTCTGCCTCTGTAGTGTTTAGACCTCCGTTGAAAAAATCTGAATGTTTCATACGGAACCTACGGATAGTGCAAAATGTTGAACTTTTTTGGAAGTTCGCGGGAATGCTCGAAACGTGCTGCCTCAACCTCGGGGCCATGTATGCTAAGCTTGTCTGTCCCATCTGGTCATTTATTGCTGGCGATACTGTACTCCCCTTAGAAAACATCACCTCTGATTTCTTCGCCGTAAAACAGCAATAGCGGTGAATGACACGGATGAAAGACATGGAGTATGCCGCCGGTTGACGTACATCTGTCGAACAGCGGAACTACTTGCGATAACTCAAGTAGTCAGCAAAAATAAGGAAAAGTTGGCCTAGTGCCCCCGAAGAGTTAGAGTTAGCACATGATATCTAATACTTGAACGCGAGTGTTGTGTGGAATCTGCATTAAATTGAGATACATTGAATACAACGAATAATGACTTTCCTATATTTCATCGCAGGTGTTCGGTGGATATTTGATCAACCTTAAGTCAATGGCCGCATGGTTGAGTTGGCTGAGATACTTGTCCATATTTCGATACAGCATGGGTGGGCTGTTGACAGCGGAAATGCGAAGTCTGACATTCTGTCCAATCACAAACACCTCTGTACCAGGAGCACCGGACAATCGTCAATGGTAAGGTCTACTCTATCACTCACTGTCAAACCACTGTTTGCTATTTTCGAATGACCACACCCACCTTGTTTCATATGATCCCGTACGATAAGTACTTGGTTTGAAAACAAGACTTGCGACGGAACTAATTGAGCATATCAGACTAACTGATTAGACCTCGGTGCGTATTCGTTCATTCGAGCTTCCAGACTATTGGTCTCCACAAGTTGAAGCGCTTTCAGTAACTTTATGCACAGCGTGTCCAGTGACAGTTGCATTTTGTTGAGTGCTTGCTACTTACAGTGACGTGCTCTTGCAAAAGAACACACCGTTTCATGTACAACGCCACCAAATGGGTTCGGAGTTTATTAGCACGAATGAGACCTGTCAATTTTGACCAAGAAATTTCATGGCGTGAAGCTCATTAGTTAGGAACTGATCGCAGCTTACGAAGTATGTGTTTAAAGTCCAAGCCGATGCATTGGTTTTTGATTATTCCATCGATCAGCAGGATGAATTATACGTTATGTACAGGTTGGTGAATTGTCTCACGTTCTGCCACTAGCTACTGAACTGGTGTATGTGTTAAATCAACAGTGCGAACAGGTAAGCGACTGATCACCTGAAGAACCCAAATAAGGGTAAAAACGTGTGGTTAACCACATGAATAGACGACTTAATGCGGCACAGCAGTTCCGTCACCGCCGAACGTAATTCTTAGCTGGCTCTTGAGATTTGCCTTGCTAACTATTCTCAGAAAAATGAACCAACTGTCAGTGCTTTTTAGCTTTCTTGTCTAACTGATGGATTTAGCCTAACAGAACGAGTTTCGACATCAGAACAACCACATAGCATACGGAAGTTGAAAGCTCTTTTAAACGAGTGAAAACCGTTCAACATGCTTTTCATGTTCCAAACCAAGTACGAGGCCGGTTCTTCAAGCGTGCGCAAAGTGCTAGGTCACACACCTTAATATGTCTGTCATTTAGACTTGGACGACTTTAGCTGTTGTTTCCTATGAAGTGACTGTTTCATTGACACTGTTAATATGGTCTGCGCATGGATTTCATCACATCTGAAATAGCGCATTTTCTCCCCCAAAACAGCCAATCAGGAACACTTTACTTGCGTGATCAAGACCTCCCCTATGCTACGGCTTGGGACTTATGGAGCAATGTGTTCGGACAAGTGCTAATAATGATATTCTTCTACATCCTGTGTTATGTTCAACTTCGTCGAATAAACAAATACAAATGATCAGGTTCACGCACAAATCAGGACCACTTATGCCTTTCTACAATCATACGAACCCAGTGATATCACGATTCCATTCAATTCGTATCATTTCCAAAATTACTCCTTCAGTTCAAGATTCCTTCCCTTCGGTTTTCGGACATTTGCGTATTTAAGTAGACCTGATGGTTAGACATTTCTGACTCTTCATTTCAGAAGGGCTTGACTCACTCTGTTTACTGCTGTTTACACGACGAAAGCAGATGATCATGTTCCTTAGAATTCCCACACGGTGTCCCTTCCTCAAACACGTATCTACCTATCAGACACAGATTTTGCATCGCTGGTTCAATCCCGACTGCTCCTACACTGTTTTTATACTTTATGCACGGTGTTCCAACTTCCTGTCGACTGGCTGACTGTACATCAATTTCTGACCAGTAAAGATACTACACTGTTCAAACCCGTCGTTTTGATACTGTAAATTCCCTAGCTTCTTGTATCGACTTAATCTCCATGGAAAAGTTGATGGGTCCCCTGGATATTTCGCTCTACTGATGAAAATGCAACCACCCAGGTAAAATGCATCCTCTAAAATCTACCTCCAAGTAGTCCGAACAGATATTTCCGCAGTAAATGACCATGTTTTAGGTAGTGAGGAGGGTTTTAGGTTGTCAGCATTGCGGGATCCATTTTATGTATAGAGCTGAAAGATTCCTCGGAACAAAAACTGGGTAAAATTTACGTCAGCACATATATCGATTGTGGCGAAATTGCTGTCTGGATCCCAGGTGCTCTATCAGAAAGAGCTAGCTAATTTGTCCCTGGTCATCGGAAGAGGTACCAACGGTTGTTGCGAGGACAAAAAAAGAATTTTGTCTAACATAAGGGACAAGAAAAAGAGCGCCAACTGAAGCATAAAATAACTTTCAAGGCAACTTGTCAGTATTACCGACTCTTATGACAGGATTCATCAACCAAGATCAAACTCAGTTAGCTCGTGTCACCGTTTGGTTGACATGAATTGTGTTGCTCCGTGAGAAGATCCACCGTGGCAAAAACTGGGCGAAAAATAGCATGACCTTGTGTTAACTGTTCAGTCACTCACTGGATGGGTAAGAATTTTCATATATCAAGCTACCGGTACCGGAATCAAACTGATTCACATGCATCTGATAAAGCAAATTCGTATAGACGTAACACGCTATATCACAAAGGTGTGATTCAGGTGAGTCACCCGTGAAAACCTGCCAATGAACTTGAATAACTATCCAAGAAAAGTGGTGTAGCAATAAAAATGCTAAACATTTTTTTCAGTTTGTCGGGATCAGCAGAGGTAACGGCCAACAATAAAGCTACAATTCGGTTACCCCACCAATTTCACTAGGATAATGGAGAAAATAGCCATCTCAGACGGAGTTTTAATGAGACGAAACAGCTTCCGACTCACTGAGGAAGGCTCTGCTGTCACTTGTTGATTAATTTAGATGAGATGGTAAATCTATATTCATTCAACTGTACCATCCAGTCGGTGCATAGCGACCATGTCATCGGAAGGAAGCATGAGGGTTGAAGTAATACCACGTTGCTCAAGCCTAGACAGAAGCACTCGAGATGCTGAGTTCGGGTTCGAACCACAGACCGTAGGTTCTTATTTTAATCAGAGTCATCACGAGCGCAGTGGTTAGCACTATCAACCAGCGTGGATTATTTTCTGGCACCGGAAATCGTGAAGGTTGGTCCTCCTCTCGAAGATATGTACAGAAACATGGTTCGTAGGTAATTTTCACCAAAAAGTGGTTCAAAGCATTCCGTATTCTGTTAACAATTTGGAGAAAGGCCTGGTGTCCCATCCAATGGCTCAGATTAACAAAACTTGGGACTCAAACAATCGAACTTGAAGTTTAGTCGATATTCCTCAGGTATAGCGTGAGCTGCCTAGCACTACTGATATAGACCGCTAACTCTGACAGCGACAGTGATTTCCATGACAAGTTACCATAATAGAGCACTATCCAGTCGGAGGCGCGAATGGATGGAAGAAGATTCGTGATTGTAGCCTATAACAAATTTATAAGAGTCTACATCACTGAAGGCTCGGTTAGGCAGCACGACGCAAGAATCTCTAGCTAAGAAAGCAAAGCAAATCTTGAAGAGTGAGCCGAGCGGCCTTGATGGGTGTACATAACGGATGCGGGCCGACAAGAACTCGAGTGGGGATTAAGTTACAATAGATTGAAGCGTCGTGCGTGCCTGCATGGGTTTGCTTCTGGCTCAATTGAGAGCACATTTGCCTTGTTGGCAGAGGTTGGTTTTTTGCACTTTCACCTCCGTTTGCATACGTTGGACTGAAACGTCACAATTGTGTAGTCCAGTCTGGTCTCCTTAAACACGACGTCCCCAGTGGTGAGAAACAAACACCAGAGAGTAACCACTCAGTAAAACGATGTAAGACGCATCCGAATGAATACAGTTAAAGGTTGTGCTGGTTGCACAGGCGTTTCGACAGGAAGTAGTTTTCAGAACATGATGACATGAAAACCGAAAGCCGATCTTTATGTGGTATAGGTAGTGTTCACCACAAAACTATTGTCAGCAAACATCTACAAGCAAACTATTACAGCTTGGTGATACATAGCGAATCAAATCCCGGTATGGTACAGCTTCCGCTTAGGATAGTACCCGTAATTCTTGGAGAGTGAATCGCATAAGACAAAACTTGGGAAAATGGACTCCTATTTTCACCTTGGGATTTTAGAACTTAAAAAAAAGACAACCGTTCAGCTATAGAACCCTTTCGGTGCCTGGCTGCCATGCCACCCGAAGGACGCACGAGGGCTGGTTGCCAGGTTGCCCAAGCCTAGATAGGAGATGCAGAGGTCGGATTCGAACGACGAATCTACCAGTCGGTAAATTCACGCCCTAACCACTGGGCCACTTCAACCCGATTTACTGTTAGATCCCAAAAGTCCTCTTCGTCCGGTCAACCATAGGTACCCAGACGAAGTAAGTTGAGCAACTTGAGGTGATGAATACGAGATGTAAGGAAAAATGAGATAACCTACAATGTTCATAGCCCTTTCCCTGATGGCTGTTGTACATGAGTTAACTCGGCACTGACGAGGGTGCCGCCAAAGTGTGATGAATTCTCAGCTGGAAACCGGGCCAGTTGCAAAATACCACATCAGTCCAATGACAAGATTACATGGCTGGTGTAACCACACTACAAAGGGGTTTAACATGTCATGAAAATATAGATTCTGATCAGCACTTAGTGTAGTCGAATCGACGTAGGAAACGTATGACGATCAGCAAAGGCTGTCAGTCACACTCGAGCACGTAAGCACACAAGCATGTAAAGCGAACGAACGCCGTACGCGACGATGAAACGCCTTTCTGACAATTAGGTTCTCCACACCATGCTGCCTCGGTCTGCGCTTGTTTATGTATAGGCTAGAGATTAATTCATTAACAGAACCATATGGTGCTAGGAACGTTACTAGTACACGAATTTCCCTGTTGCGTTGCTGATTGTATTTAATGGGTATCAATGGTTCAAGATGGTCTTGGGGGCGAGTCGCCCAAGCCCTCGGGTTTTATTTCAACTCAGCAATCTTGCCACGCACAGTAAAATAATTCGCATACATATCTAGTACAAACTCACCTTATAAAAACGTCTTAATCATAGCGGTCCTCCCAACGAGGAGCACAGCACTCTCAATCGTCTGAAGTAAAGAGCATTCACAGTATGAATACCAATATCGATGATTTGTCAGGAGGCGTCGGTGAAAAGATTACGATATAACGGAAGATGGTGTTTATGAATTACGTTCTGACAGTTTTGCGTGTTTGGGCAGGGCTTCTACCCTATAGGCTGCCTAACCGAAACACATATCCGGTTATAATCTATGGTAATCTGCCGCAATTTTGTGACTGAAAACAGCGTTTTTATGGAGGTTTTGCCCTATAAGTGAAGCCAACCTATGCTGAGAAGCGCCGCATAGCTGTTTCTTCCTTACCCGGAATCACCAGAAAGGCGCATCTCACTAAAATCCAGTGTCTCGGGCCCGCGACCTCCCGGCTGGCAATTTGAACACTTAACCGGTCGGCCGCTAGACGCTGATCAGTAAGCAGTATGACTAGTTCGCACTCAAACAACCACGGGATCGATATCGCGTGGTCACATGTGTTGATTGGCTACTTGAGTGACAACGTCTCAGACGGACATTTCATTTACCGAGTTGGTTTTATTCTTACTTTGAGCTGCTTATAGACGGTTGGTGACATTAGAGAGATTTAGTCCTGTAAGAGATTCCAGTGTATGCTAAAAAGCCAATATGATTGGATCGCACGTTATCAACGATTAGAAATAAAGGTTCAACATATGTACGACGATCCTCAGCAGTTTTCGGAAGGCGAATACCGAAAGTGAAGATGCAAATATATTCTACAAATACCACTTGACAACCTCAGTAGGCTTTACGCCTACGTCTGACAAAGTGTCTAGGCAGATTGGTAATGTCCCGGTTGAGTATTCACAGAGTGCTAGGGGAACAAAGTGCCATAGGACTACTGCGAACCACTGAAATGCTAAATATAATAAGCAGGGATGAGGAAGCAACTAATACGAGTATCAGGAGAAGGTCTGGAAGTAGGGGTTGAGAGTGATGAGATTTATGGTCGTGGTGTTTACGCAAACCTGTCAACTAACGAAAAAGGATGTGCACAAGTCGCCTATAGAAAAATACTTCGAGTAGCGTGATGAATAAAACACAACACTGGTTGATAAAAATCTATTCGCCTTCATTAACCAGCATATTAGGAATACCGTTTGAAATAGGAAATTCACGTCCTGTTTCTGGACACACCAAAGTGCCTTCAATAATATCCACTTCCAACAAGGCTCGATGAGCGAGTTTGAGAAACTCCTCGTTTTCCGCATAATCCGGTGGAAGTTCACCGGGTAAGATAGGAATGTGATCCACACCAATCTGCAGCAAATAAACTCAAGTTCGAGGAAAACAGAAACAACACTAACTTCATCGGCCACCTTTTTCACAACGCTCCATTCAACTTTGGGAATCAGGCGAGATACGTATGTCGGGTCGAAGTCGATTGGTTTCACCTGCAAATTTTTCACCTAACGGGGAGGTCAGAATAGAACATGTCAGTTACCTTTAATCCTAATGGGTAGCCTACTTTGACAGATTTCAGCACTCTGGATGTTAGTATATTGTGCAGGAACAGTTTCATTGTGACAGAATTGCTGAAAGAAAGAAGATGGAAGTACAAAGACACTAGGAAATGTAAAACGAAACAGTGTTCGGCAAGCAAAAAACATGTGTGTTTGCCGAAGGTGACAAGCGAGTAACCTATATGATTGGTGTAAAATCAGACTGCGCAACTTAAGACAAACGGTGAACCTGGACAGTTGCTCCGAACCAATAGCCAAACGCCACTTGATTTAACTGGGTCCACAACTGGCTTCTGCTAAGCGTTTCCTTAAGCTTGAGCTCTCCAGAAATATCTTACGACCAACGCACAATTTCAGAAGCTACCGCTTACAAATGAGTGGACGTCAGCTCCGACGTGACTCACATGTGCCCCTATAGAACTCGGCCAATCGAATTCACCGCCCAAACTAGCTGCACAGGTACCAGTGACAGCAATCTTAACAATGGAGAACAGCAAATTAGTTTACTATAGAGTTCCAACCGTTGATGGTGTACTATGGATGACGGTTTTGATCACTGCAACATGTGATTGACGATACGAAGGGGACCGATAAAACGATGTCGGCAAAATTCTCGGGGAAAAGCGGTGAAGAAAAGATTTAGAGATTAAGTGAGTGGACAAACAGCTTCACTGACTAACCCAAACGACACAAGCCTCCATCTACGTGGCAGTTTAATTTGAGTAATCACTGGTTCGGATATCGGCTATGTTAACCAGGCGAGTTACACATTGGCCTCCCAGGCTTATGCTTCAACCTTTGGAATATTACACAATACAATAATATAATAATGTCATGTTTAACATCAGCCGTATTCAGTGATCTCGGATTTATTAAACACATCAACTCGACACTACTATCTCACTAGGAAATACTAGCGATAGCAGTCATTCGGTTATTGGTTTACCAGTCGACCATCCACGCCCACCTGAAAGCAGCATTGAAGGCCACCCGCCAGAAACTATTGCTACAGCAAGCTACTCAGGGGGAAGTGTGACACTCCTTTGCAACTAACACCTGGATGCAAAGGGACGAGCGCTAGTGCTCATTGTTCGGTCATCGTTCTTCTCGTAAAAGGCCTCTGCCTAACTTGCTCACTTGGGCTTACATGAACATCCCCAGCTCAAGCGCGCTACATCACTCGCCTACACACAACCCGATCCTGTTTACCAACTATGCAAAAAATTCGACCGCTGTCAGTCAAAAAAACTCTGTTCGTACGCCAGTCAACCACTCACTGTTCCTAGCTACGTATTCGTATCAATGGGGATAGATTATTTCCAAAAGTGTTTGGGATTCAGCTTGATAACTGTACTCACTAAGTAACTGAGTGCGTCGTAGTGTTTTGGAGCGCGACTTATTTATCTTTAATTATGGTGATCCCAGGAACGAATGTCGCCAACGTTGTGATAACGAACAACTGTAAACCTCCAGGACATGGTAGATGATGCTATCTGAAATCACTGTCATTCAAAGTCCACCCGTTCGCAAATCCCAAAACACTTAACAGAAAGAAGCGTCGTTCCGGGTGTATCGTTTGACGAAGTACTACCGCTCGGTTTATAGATGAGACATGTGGTTTGCCACTCCATGCTTTTGGATTTTCCAGTAACCAACTGAATACGTATTGATTTGTAGATAGGTTAGATGGCTTCGATAAATTCTTTATTACCTTTATGTATATCCTGTCCATAACGTCTTCCCTTTTCGGTGACTTCATGTTTGTACCGAAAACTGCGCTTGCTGATGTGGCGCAGTCTCTTGGGCTACACGGAGTTAAAGAACTTAATGCACATGTAGGTTAACACAGATATCCTATTCATTATTCGCAATTTTTCCCCCATTTACCCAGTAGAATTATTTGGACGAATACAGTGTGAACCACTACGGCGTTCGTAGACAATTATCGGAACATTTAGGATGGAGTCCAATCCCCATAAAGCAGCCTCCAGCTTCCAAACGGCAACATCCTTCATACGACGTAAACGAATTCCGTTGCACGAGATGGTCCACAAGATCGATACCATAATAGAGCCACTGTAAGTCGGTAAAATATAGGAAGCTGAGACAAAAAACATCACCAGAAATCGAATCGCTCAAGTGGTTGGAGCGCGAATTTACCGACCGGAAGGTCCGCGGTTCGAACCCGAAATTTGGCACTCGACGTCCCCTGTCTAGGCTTGGGCAACTTGGCAGTATCCCAGCCCTCGTGCTTCCTCCGGGTGGCATGGCAGCTAGGCACCGAAAGGGTGTTACAGCTGAACGCTTTCTTTCAACATCATCAGTATATCTGTGTATATTCACAAAGTCCAACTCTTATAATGTGGTACCAAATTTACCACAGGGATTTGGAGGTACCAGTAACCTACGGAAAACCACAAAAAGCTTCCACCTACGGGTAGTCACTTTTCTTCCACGTGTGATTTGTTCGGTTTCTTTGAGTTGAGTTTCGCCTTTCCGGTTTCTGAATACGGTTCATTTGTAAAGGACCTAGTTTGCCAGGAAGTATTTTCGACCAATCGTTGATTTCAAGAACATTCTGGAGCAGTGGCTGCTGGGACCGCTGTCGGATCACTAAGATGTCTTTACTGAACTAACATTCGTTTAAACGAAACGATTCTGTGTTGTCCTTATCAGAATGATCTTCATTATGGCTTCCTAACAAAAACTTCATCCATTGTGCTGATGATTGCCCCTACAGCATGGTATGAAAATAATTGGGGGTTTGCTTTGGGGTAGCCTCGAGAACAGCAATATCCGTTGTTTTATCAAGTCGACTGCACCGCCTAAAAACCCTCAGTGCACAAGTTCCACTGCTCACCATTCTGGCAGGTTTTTGAAAGGTTTCAGTCATCAATCATGGTCATCATCATTATCATGGACAGCGCGTCCGTATTCAACACTGAGGCTTCGCTGCCACACAACTATGATTTATTTGAAGGTCTTATTGTGAAGAAAAGAATGAAGGGGGCAGGGAAGGAAGTTAGTGCTAGCTTACTAAAATCATTCCGAGGTGCCTACACCTCCAGATACTCATTCAGGCAATCCGGATTGAGAACCGTATCTCGCAGCGTATCCAACCAAGCGAATTCAGGGTCACGCGGTCCCCACCTGGGAAGCCAGTAGCACTGAGAGAACCCAGACTTTTCGTAATATTTCATGCCCCTCTGCTAGCTTCACCTCCCTGCTTCCGCCACTCTAGCCAAACACCAACCGGAGGACCATGACAACCGTAAAGTCTATCTAATTATGCCCGAAAGGGAGAGGAAACGGTTGAGTGAGGGAGGGGCCTCAGTGCTGGCCTATGTCAAGCATACTGAGGTGCCTACACCCCTAGGGACTCAGCCAGACAATCTGCGGAGAAACCGACAAGTACGTTACTCACATCAATCAGCCGCCATTTCCTGGAATGTCCCCAGTCAAGCGCAGGTGGGGTCACGGAGACCCCATTCTGGAAGGTGAACAACGCTAAAAACACAAACACTTATAATCTCTTTCACACCCTTCTGCAAAGTCAAACATTGTTAAGCTCGCGGTTCGCACCATTCTGAAGTAGGCGTGGAGAACAACAAGCGGTAGACGGTGTTTCGACATGCGTTGCACATGATCGAACCACCGCAGTTGATGGTGCTGGATGTTTTCCCCGACGGAAGTACCTGCTGTATAAGCAAACACCTGTATACGCAATCACCTCGTTACTAATCTGTTGACGCCATCCAAAACCAGTAACACATCTGAGGCACCGGTGGTAAAAAAACCTGAAGACGCCTCATATCATATAACCACAGAGGCCACGTCTCGTACCCTTAAAACATAGCCTGTACTGCAACACGGTGTTCGGCGGCCAGCCGTCCCTAATAACCTGATTTTCCTTGTCTCCATAAAGGGCTGTGTAGAGCTGCCGTGCCTTTTGCTATACCATAGTGGGCAGAGCAGGAAGCCAAGGGACCGAAACCGAGTTGCACTACCGTACTTCAAGACACAACAACTGGCGACAACCCGAACCCACAATGTCAATTTCGGCAGAGCAGCTCCAATTAATTTTACAGCAACAACAGAAGCAGTTCGAAGAAGCCCAAATGAGGCTTGTTGAATCTCTGATGCGCAGTATGTCGGTGAACGCGACAAAAACGTGTGAGCCTCAGTCTTCTTCCGCAGATGCTGCTGCCAACTCGATTACTGAATTCAATTTTGATGCTGAATCTGGACGAACTTTCGAAAGTTGGTTCAAGAAATATGAAGTCATGTTTCAAACCGACTTTGCTCAGTTTGACGATGCATGGAAAGTTCGACTGTTGCTGCGGAAACTGGGGACAGCTGAACTCGATCGGTTCACAAATTTCATACTCCCCAAACACCCTCGTGACCTAGGTTTCGCAGATGCTGTCAAAATTCTGGCCTAAATATTCGGTGAGCAAAGTTCCTTGTTCAATATTCGTTATCAGTGTCTCAGGATTGCCAAAAGGGATACTGGGGATTTCATCACGTATGCCAGTGTGGTCAACAGAGAATGCGAACGCTTTCAGCTCAGCTCCATGACCGAGGACCAATTCAAATGTCTCATCTTCGTGGCTGGTCTTCAATCACCACACGATGCAGATATTCGGACCCGGCTACTGAATCGAATTGAACAGGATCCAGAGTTGACGCCTCAGAAACTTACCACCGAATGCCAGCATCTTATCAATCTCAAGGCTGATGCTGCAATGATTGGACATTCCAAATTCTCTCAGCCTGATATGGTATGCAAAGTAACTTCCAAAAGAACGTCAAATTCAAAACGAACTCCAAGAAAACCGCCCACACCCTGTTGGTTTTGTGAAGAATAGCACTATTCACGCCAATGTCCCTACCGGAACCACAGGTGCAGTAAGTGCAGTCGAAAGGGTCACAAAGAAGAATGCTGCAGAGACAACTTCAGGAGCTCGCGCAAACACCGACCCGACAAAAGGATGCAGGCAGAGGCAATGACCGCCACATTCAGGATGAAATCACCCGGTCGACGTAAATTCGTCACATT